TAAAAGAATAATAATAGAAAAGTATATACAGGTCCAATACCTGCATTGTAACTGTATTTTTGAGTTTCCACAATGTTGTTGGTGATACTCCAAAATAAAGTAATGACAATGAACACATTATCAGTGAAAGAACCCTTCCTTCATTAGGCAGCTACACACCCTTTGTAAAGGGCTATTGGAGTTGGAGAAGCTTTTAGGGAATCTTAGTAAAAAATGCAAATCAAAGTTCTGAGATGAACCTCATTGGTCCGTCGGAATCAGAGAATACGGGCAGCTGCCACATTTAAATTTTCATTTGAGAGGAAAGAGAGAGAGTTAGAAAGAGAGAAAAGACTTGCCACGCTGCTTAAAGCAAGGATGCAATTGTTATAAATTGGTTGTTATAATTATGTTTCTCTGCATTATGTTGTAGCAAACGACAGAAATTGACGTGAAGAAGATGCGTTGTGTATCAGTTCAAATTGTTATGACAAACACGTAAACATAACTATTGTTAAACCAGATGAATCTCCGCAATTTGGCATCTGAGGAAAATGTGCCTCATTCAGAATCTCACTGGGATTATCAAAACACATTCGTCAGACGGGAAAGAGACAGCGGTTCATCGGCAGCTTACATTTGCTTCGGATTCATGCTTACAAAAAACAGACAAACATACTAAAGTCTCATGCACCCAAAAAGGTACAGATTGTTATAGAAAGGATATGATAATAATCACCCAAAAATCTTGCCATAAAATCACTTGCCATTAATGTTCCAATGACTGAGTGCCACTAATTAAGTGCACTGTCCAGTGTTGAAAAACGAACAAGTGGACGACTCTAATGCCAGCACCACCTGACGGGGTCCATTAAGCTCATTTGGGTTAAACTCCGAGGAACTTCCACTACGCGGTTACGCCTGATTGGTTGTGGTGTTTGTTTACACAGTCAGGTCTCTGCTATCGGGCTGAGAGAGGAGGTGAAGAAGGGTGAGGGGATAGACTGAGAGGTAGACTTAAGAAGTTCAGCTAGGGTGGGCTACACTTTACCATCGGACTGATCCGGGAATACTGCGTTATCATCGGCAAAGCAGCGTGTGCCTGAAATGTTACCGTAGTCAAATATGGGCCCTTCCAGCAAAGTCACAATATCCAACCGATTGATCTTTGTCAGCACCGGAGTTAAAGCATCCGCTGGAGAGACGAGACAGAGAGAGACAGGGAGAAAAATGCATTTACAGGCGGGAATTAACACCACACAACCTCCATGTTAATGAAGTGTTTTCACGAGCTACAAAAATAAATATAGTATTCTCATGAGCGACAGCGGCCACATCCACTGCTCTCCGTCACAGGTTCACGGCGGCCCGCTGCTTACTTGTGGCGTTTTTACCGTCCCTGTGCACCCATTTCTTTAGGAACATGAAGCTCTGTGCTGTCAGGGAATTGGGGTTTTCCACTCTGATAGAGTTGATCTCGTCCACAGAGAAATCCAGCTCCCTGGCCAGCTCTGAAACGGCAAGAGAGCAGAACCATGAAGACGCTCGACACCACGTCTATGGTCTCAGTTCTATTAGTAGCCCGTCCTATAAATATCTGCACTTAACACAAATCACAACATTTCAAAACGGCGAGTCGCTTGTGTAGAAATATGGGAAGCAGCTAGAAAAGATAAATGGAGATTGGATTACGACTCCCCCTCCGACTCATCGGGGCTCGTGTTACGAGCCGAACTCGGATGGACATTGTCATCCGATGGACAATAAAAAATCTACAATTTGTATTGATATTTAGGTTTTTTATCTTCAAACGCCCGAATATGACGCAGCAGTGAAATGCTGCTTGATCAGACAAGCACACCGGCCACAAGAACATAACGTTCAGCAACGGGAACACGCGTTAATTATGGATTAAACACACTCAGTCAAAGGACAGAGAGGCACACAACTGCTCGTACTCACTTCAGATGGACACACTCCCACACACACACACCTACACACACACACACACACCTACACACACACACACACACACACACACACACACACACACACACACACACACACACACACACACACACACACACACACACACACAGCTGGGCAGTGCTGCAGTGCAGCCAGTCGGGCTTTGAATAAACTGCAGAACCCCACCCTAATTGCAGATGGGCTACATATGTACCTAAAATACTTACTCACATCCAAACGAAAATATATATTTGACATGGAGAATATAAACACTTTTTTTTTAAGAGGCTTTGTGCTGTAAGAATTAATCACACAGTAACGATTGTGTTTTCCAGCCACTGACTTCCAATTTGTCTCATCATGTGTGTGTGTGTGTGTGTGTGTTCTCAAAGATTCTCTTGATGAATTACAATGTTTCTACTTCCTTGTTGCATCATACGTGCCGATGATGCATGCGGTATAAATGCCACTGCGGTTCGGCGCAGTTTACATGTTTGTAGTCTACAGATCCACCAGATGGCAACAAACGCCACGGAATGGTGAGAGAGATTCAGCTCATTTACTCACTCACACCGCTTCCTATCTGATGTTCATCTGTTCATCATTGAATGCTGTCTGGCGATCCTGATATTTTCCCGTTGGTTATTGTCCTCTCGAGGGTCCCAATTCTCTTTTTATTATATTTAATTTTTCCACATATTTTCACACTGTTTTCACCTTATTTCGTAATCACAAGATGGCAAAGCGATGCTCGGGCAGCACTGATACTACTGATGAATATTAGCTCGACCAATCGGGGGAAAAAATAATTTCAAACTGAAACTAGCTTGTTGCACGCTGAACTAATTGAGATGAACATTTAAGTTTCTCCATGCCGTGTCAATTACTAGAATAACTATCTTCCATTCTATGCCCGTTTTTGTGCGTTTTTCTGAGTGAAATGTGCGTCAACTCACCGGTCCAGCTGAGTCCGAGGTGGTCGGCTACTATCGCCATACGGAGGTCTGTTCTCTCACAGGGACTCTGAGGGCCTGTGGCGAGGAGCCAGGGAAGTGCGAGAAACAAACAATTAACACGGGACTTTATGACAATATCCCCCAAATTAACTTAATGTTAAACACTAAATGGCTCCAATAAAATGGCCACAGAGGAAGATCAATGATGAACGAAACAGTTTGGGATTGTGAACTTAAAGTTTGTCTATTTCAGATGTTTTAAACGTGTTTTAAGCATAATAACTACTAAATACCCAGTTTACACATGCCTACTTAATTAAAATGTGATATTGCGTCTTTGTTTTGAGGCATTTTCTGATGTGATAATCATATGGAACCCTGTGGTGCTCTCGACTGAACAAACAAAGACTAACTTTAGCTCACTGTCCCACCTCTAGAATAGAATATGAAATAGAAAAAGAGTTTTTCTGGCCAGACGCTCCTCAATGATTCAGTGTAGCATAACGGAGGCTTGCTAAAAGACGTAGTTTGACCTTTTGGGAAATGCGCTGTTCATAGATGAGGAAAATCAAAAAAGTCTGGTTTATACTAATTATTATTATTAAGCTTTCGGAAAGCTACTTTAATAGTAAACATTTCCTTATTGTCTTTACAATATCCGCCTTCATGCGCTGCCTAACAAGTACAACTAAACAATGAAAACCCCGAAAATGCTCAAAGTAATGAGACTACAGCGGCACCTACTTATCAAAGAACATCAGCGAGAAGTCAGTATTAAAAGTATGAGGATGTGTGCGGCCAGAAAAGGAAAAAGAGGAAAATCACATAATCACGACATAATACTAGTAGTATTAGTTTTGGTAGTAAAAGTTTAGAGTTAAAGAGTTTTGCATCACATCACTAACGACAAACAACTACCATCAGGCAACATTCCCTCCCACTGATGAAAGCAATTCGTGGCTTCAACTTGGGATCAAAAGAATCTCGCTGCAGCAGGTTTCCCAACGACTTGCCGCTCGCCAACTCCGCCCCCGTGCAGCCGACATTTGTTTACGATCGTCAAGCTCAGCCAATGAATTGTTTTTCGCAGTGTTTTCAGGGGGCAAAAGTACCATCCAAAAGATTTCTACAAACCAGGCAAGCAGACCAAAACATACACAAGGTCTTATTTCCCCCTGAAAAATCTTCCACATATTGGGTCTTAATCTGGTCGACGGTCGAGGTGGGGGGGGGGTTGGTGTCTTCGGGTGAGGTTGCAAGCTAACTCGACCTACGGTGTGAAATGATTGTGTGTGTGTGTGTGCGGTAGCCAAGTGTGCTTGCTTGCAAACCAATAATGGTCACTAAAAAAGGTGTTTGCTGATATTGAAATTGCAGTGCACCAAAGACACAACTACAGTCTGTTGTAAAGCTTCCACCAGCCATTAATGTAATAAAGCATGTATTCAGACATCGCTTTCAATCAGCATGAAATCAGGAATCCAGCGACCGACTTTGAATATTGATACTGCCATCGATCCTCTGTGTCTAACCCTTTACCTGATTGTCTAAATCAGACAGCACAGGATACAGATAACAAGAATGACGGGAAGAAGAAGAAGAAGTAGTGACAGCTACACTTACGACGTCACATCACAAGGCACCCACAACAGCTACATGCATCTCAGAGAGAAAGATACGGAATAACAAGTGTTTAGAAAGAGTTTACAAACTAGTCTGCTTCTCCGTGTCAGTAGCCGTGATTGGTTGATCAACCTTACTCCCTTCCTCCTTCTGCTCTTGCTCCTTCCCTCCAAGTGTCCGCCTACTCTTCCTCCTGCTCCTCCTCATCCTCTCACTGCTGGCCTGCTCAACCTGAGCTCTCACATCTCTAGCAGATGGTGTTGATGTGGTGGTGCTGGTGGTGGTGGAGGTAGAGGTGCATGAAGGGCGGGAACTTCTAGAGGCTCTAGAGGGTTCTGACATGGAAGTGTTCCTGGCAGTGCTGAGGCTGCAGCTCTCTTCGTCCTCAGTGGCCAGAGTTTTCCCCTCTAACCGTCTTTCAGCCTCCTTGGGAGCGGTTTGGTCCAAACGTTTGGCTGCCTGGCTATGGGCTGCCCTCGTTTTACCCTTTTTGGAAACGACTGCAATGTTTTTACGCCCAGTGTCACTTGTGCTTACCCTACATGTGGTTTTCTCCGTGCTGAACCCGTGCTCATTACTGGATCTGCCTTTAGCTAGTGGTTTATCAACCCTACTGGGTTTCATACTTCTACCAATAACCACAGACTTAGTTGGAACCTGCTTCTGCTTCAGGGGACAAGAGGACTGTTTCATGGCTTTCATTACAGGGATTCTAGACTTAGAAAATAAATAAAAAGGGTCTAATCTTTCCCTGACATTGTGCATTACATGTTTCCTTGCTATAAATGTATCAGAATTGTCTTTTACAATTGAGTGACTTTGACTGCATAGTTTGCGCGTGAGCGCCCTGACTGGTAACCTGGACTTGCATAACTTGATAACTTTGACTTCTTTGGCTGCTGTGCTTGTTATTGCTACATTAGAATCAGCCCCACCTTCTCTGCTGTTCTCCTCTAGCTGATTGAATGATGCGTCTATCCTACGGACCTCCTGCGTAGTGGGTCCCACGGAGGACAACAAGCTGAACACAACATCGCCAGCCTGAATGACATCTGAACGAACGCAATGGGAGTCAGCGTTGCCGCTCAATGTTTGGGGATTGCCAATATGTGTGGATGGGGAGGAGAGAGAGTCTGTGCTTTGGTAATGTGTGTGATTTTCAGACGTCCAATCCAAATGGCTGGAAGTCCCTGAAGGAATTCTGAGATTTAAATAATAACCCGTGAGGCATGATGGTCCGTTATTCAAACAGTTATCTGTCAAGCCTGACGTATCAAAATAATCTGTATAGTTTGAGGTTGCAGAGTAAGAACTATCTATAGTTGTTCCTGAGGTTTTATCAGAGGGATCAAAGATGCCTGATTTCCTACATTTAGAACTGCTATTTGAAGCATCAGAACTTTTAACAGATGGAAACTTGAAGCCTGTTCTAAAAGTGGAGAATTTAGGCTCAGTGTTGGAAGTTGAGTCTCTGCATGTGGTGTAGCTGCCAGTTGCATTTGATATCTCTAGTTGGACGGTAGTGGTCTGAATGGAGACATGAGGGACTGTTAAGGTATCTATATGATCCTGAAATATAAACTCATCCCCATGTGGTGAGGAGGCATTCACCTCCGAGTCCCTGACCCTGTACCTGCCCGATGAGTAGTTATGCTCACCAATCTGAAAAAACTGGAGCCTCTCCTCCACCATGTCCCTCTTGCTCATGTCAATCGCACCACTGCGCGTCATCTCAAACATCTTCCCTTCATGGAAGGGGAATGGGTTTGGCTCGCTCGTTGGCGTGCTATCGTCCGTTGGTGTTCGGGCTGGGGTCGTGTCTGGTGTCGTGGCCTGAGACTGGTCGTCCACTGCCAGTCCAAAAGGCTTAGGCTCACCATTGCTTCCCCTCGTCCCGCCCAGGTCAACGACTTCTTCTTCTCCACCCTTACTGGGCCAGGGGTCAAAGTCCAGCCCCTTAGTGGCAACAGTCTTAAAAGTGGAATTAAACTCCTCTTCTAACTTATAACTAAAGTAAGTATCTGAAAATCCCTCCTTATCCGACTTGTTTGGTTCCTGAATTTTAGCCCCGTCGGGTGTTCCGCCATTTAAGGGGGGTTCCTTTGTGAAATTTTCCTTTTGAATTTCCTCCGGGGTTTTCTCCTCTTCAATAACTTCCAGTTTGGTGGGAGGAAAAGAGCGGTCAGTGGACCTATACGTGTCTGTCGCCCAGACGTCCCTCCGGCTGTCTGGAAGACCAATCTGACATAAATCTGCCTGCTCGCACAGGCCGTCATCCTCATCCTGAAGTTCATATCCATCTAGGGAGTCAATTTCTGTTGCATCTGTGTCATGAGAAAATTCGGCCGTTGTTGCTATTGAACAGTCCGTGATTGACTGGTCATTTCCATTCTGTTCATATTCGTAGTCCTCTCCTTTTCCATTAGAACCATTGGAGCCATTGGTGCCACCATTGGGTTCTTTGTTGTTTCCATTTTTGTCATGTTTTTTGGATTTAGATGCCTTCTCCTTCTCCTTCCTCTTGTCCTCCTCCTCCTCAGAATCTTTCAGTTTCCTACAAGGAATGGTTTGAAATATTGACTTGTCATTTGACTGACTGTCATCTTCCCCCGGGGACACTGGGGTAGGGGGTTGGATACGTATAATTGGTTCGGTCAGCAGGTGCTTGTCATGTTCTTCCTGTAAGTTCACCTCCATCATATCTGTCTCAGTCTCTGAAGAGCCGCAGGAACCTTTCCTCTCAGTGTCAGACATTTCTGAAGCAGAGTCCAGAGGAGGAGGCGGAGGGAACTCAATATATGCAATACCTTTGTCTTTTGAGATCTCTTGGTGCTCCTTCTTGGCCATTTCATCATGCATGCCATTGACTGATGTGTCTTGCTGATTGAAATTATCAGGGAACTCTTGGTGTTTGTCATTACTCTTTGTTTCTTGTTCATTAGCATTAGCCAGGTCTTCTTGTGTGCTGTGAACAGTAGTTTTGCTTTGTGGTAGGACCTCTTTGAAGGAGAAAACAACTTTGCTTTGTTCATCTTCCTCTGATTCTTCTGACAACTCGATAATTGGGCTGTGTTTCCCAAGCATGAATTCCATGAAGCCATCAGGGGTCCTGGCCGTGAGGTCGTAGCTGACCTCCTCAGAGCTGGGGGTCTCTGGTGTAAGGGGGCTTTTCCCTGAGCTATCTATGAAAGACACCTGTTCTAGAGTGTCATCATCTGGGCTTATGGGGCTGAGTGCTGAGTTCTGTTTGACCGTGCACAGTGCTCCTTTGGCTTCCCGCTCTCCCTGCCTTCCCACCTGGACACTATTATAAACGGGTAACGTTTTAATGCCCTTGAAGTTCTCTTTGGTTGTTGTAGCAGCTGGGGGGGTTATGATTTTCTCCAGTGTTTCTCTAGGGCTAGAAAGGTTATTGGAGTTGGAATCTTTGAGTGCATTATCTAGAATTTCAA